ACTCAGCTGACCCCGCCCTAAGTGAGGGGGTACTGATCTACTGATCGTGCACTAAGTGTGGCCGGCCTGGGGCTACGGCAGGAAATTCCAAGTGAGCGGTGGGGGTGTGGCAGGAACTGGGTTAACCAGCCCAGTACCTCGTATTCAGCTGCCTCTGAAAAAAGGAAAACATGAGGATTATTTGCAGTAAATGGTGCAAAACTAGAGTTTCTTCGTGATACCACCGGCACTTCCAGGTTCAGCACAGGACAGGAACTGCGCAGGCCGCACAGCAGGGGCTCGTGGAAAGGTGTCAGGACTCCACGAAACCCCCAGCAGCAACAAACTACCTCAATCCAATTTGTGGAGGACTTGACTTAAGAAGCGTATGTTAAACTTCAACAAATTGAATGATGTAATGTATATTTCTTAAAGCATAAAGCACTTAGAATCCTGTAAATGCAATTTATGGTTGATTCACATCTAATAAAAGAATTGAGCAATGAGTTAAGGAGGGAGGAAGGAAAGAGAAAGAAAATTCTTACCGACACTAAAAAGCTTTAAAGTATTCAATGTTAATTAAACTCTACAAAAACCAAATATTCTATTAAGTAATCCAGTCATTGACACACTGCTGTTTTAAAAATTGTTCTTCCAAGAGAAGTTTGGAACCGGTAAGATGATGGATCCGCAGAACAATCAGAAAAGCGACCTTACAGCCAGGTAATTACAGACGGGCAGCACGTGGACGTCGGCGCGTCGCAGGGCCCCCGGGGAGTTTACGAGAACCACCGGTTTTCGCGGGTGCTCGCAGGTGAGCCCCAGGAGGAACCGCGAGGCGGCCCGGGAGGCCGGAGGTCCACCGCGGGCATCTGCTCTCCCTCGGCAGCCAGGAGAGGGGCGGGGGTTGAACAGGGGCCCGCACGGAGGGTGAGGAAAGGCAGAGAAGCTGAAGGCCGAGGGTCTCCCCTCTTTCCCAGGAGCGCGGATGTGCGAGACCCCGCTTGTGAGCGGCTGCGACAGCGGGAACATCACACCTAAGCCAGGGGATTGGGCCCGGCCTGGGAGTGGGGAGCCCTCTGCTGCGCGGCTGCCCCAGCGGCACCAGGACCCGCATTTCTCCCTACGGCTCCGTGCACCCCTGAACCCCGCGGGGGCTGCCAGGCCCCTGTGTCCTGAAAGCGGGGCTGGGCGGGTGCTGAGCAGTCTTCCCCAACACATCCAGCAAGACGCGCACGAGGGGAAACGGAGAACGGGGCTGGGGCCTCCGAGAAGACACAGACTGAGGGGAGCCCGCCCGGAGGGCCCCGGGAGGAGGAGACCCCCCCCCCCACTCCGGCAAGAGAGACTCCGCGACGGGAGACCTTGAGAAAGGGAGACCCCGCGAGGGGAGACCTGGGAGGGAGACCTTCGGAAGGGAAGCCCCCGGGAGGAGACCCCTGGAAGGGGAGCCCCCGGGATGGCAGACCAGGGAGGGGGAGACCTCAGAGAAGGAAGACCTGGGAAGGGGAGCCCCCGGGATGGCAGACCAGGGAGGGGGAGCGCCCAAGGCAAGGGGAGCCCCCGGGATGGGAGACCTGGGAGGGGGGGCGCCCAGGGCAAGGGGAGCCCCCGGGATGGGAGACCTGAGAGGGGGAGCGCCCAAGGCAAGGGGAGCCCCCGGGATGGGAGACCTGGGAGGGGGGGCGCCCAGGGCAAGGGGAGCCCCCGGGATGGGAGACCTGGGAGGGGGAGCGCCCAAGGCAAGGGGAGCCCCCGGGATGGGAGACCTGGGAGGGGGAGCGCCCAGGGCAAGGGGAGCCCCCGGGATGGGAGATCTGGGAGGGGGAGCGCCCAGGGCAAGGGGAGCCCCCGGGATGGGAGATCTGGGAGGGGGAGCGCCCAAGGCAAGGGGAGCCCCCGGGTCAAGGGGAGCCCCCGGGATGGGAGACCTGGGAGGGGGAGCGCCCGGGAGAAGGAGACCCCCCAGAAGGGGAGACCCTAGGATGGGAGACCTGGGAGGAGGAGCGCCCAGGGGAAGGGGAGCCCCTGGGAGGAGGCCCCAGAGAAGGGAGACATGGGAGGGAGACCCCCGGGCCCGCGCCTCCGCCCGAAACGCGCGCAGCGCTCACCAGGACGTTCCGGCCCGACTCTCGGGTGCGGGGAGCGGAGGGACGGACGGGCCCACGGCTTTCCCGCATTCCTTCCCAGGCGGCGGGGCGGGGCGGGGCGAGGAGAGCCCGGGCCGCCCGCTCCGGAACGCTGTCTCTACGGACGCGGCCTAAAGGATTCGCGGCCCCTTTAAGACGGCGGGGACTGAGTACCGTCGGCCCGGGGCGGCGTGGTGCACGCTGGGATTTGTAGGAAGGCGGGCGTCCGGGGTGGGGGTGCCCTGAGTCCCGTCGGCCCCCAGGCGGCGCTGTGCTCACGGGAGTCGGAGGCGGGACCGGGCCTGGGTCCCGTCGGCCCCCGGACGGCGCAGTGCACGTCGGGAGTTGGAGTTCCGCGGGCCGCCCTGTCGCCGCCTCCCGGCGGCCCTTCCTGGCGGGCGTCCCAGGAGCCGATGCCGGTGCCGAGGACGAGGACGGCGCGGCCGGGCCTGGGCTGAGGCGGGGGCGCCTGCGCAGACGGCCGGGGCCGGCGAGAAGCGGGGGAGCGCGGAGGAGAATGGTAGGTGGCCCGCGGGGTCGCCTCCCGCCCGGCACCTCCTGCGCACCCGGGAACCCGGGAGGCTGGGAGTCGGGGGGCCTGGGTAGTCGAGGGAGCCGGGGTCGAGGCCGAGGGGTCAGGGGGTGGCCCAAGGTCGGGGGGCCGGAGCCAGGGTCGGGGCCGGGGCGTGAAGGTCGCCGGAGCGGCGGGGCGGGCGCTGCAGGTGGCGGCGCGGGTGACTGCTGCCCGGTGGCCCGGTGGCCCGGTGCGGCGCTGCGGTCTAGGCGGTGGCCGGAGGGGCGGAGGACTCGGGACGTGCTGCCGCGGACGCGCCGGCAGCCAAGTGACCAGAGCGGGGTGACCGGGAGGGGGCGAACGGGAGCCGGGTGAGCAGGTGCCCGTGTGGCGGGGTGGGTGCGTGGCGTCAGATGGGGCAGTGGGGCGTAGCTACGGTGACACGGCGCGAGCTGAGCCCTCGAGGTGTGGGGTGGAAGGGGCGGCTGGGGCTGTGCGGGCTCCAGGCAGCAGGAGCAGGGGGGTGGCGGGAGGTGCTGCGCTGCGGGAGGCGGAGGGTCCGCCGGGCGAGCGCACCAGAGCCGGGGAGAAGCGACACCGGAGAGGCGGGGGACGGCGCTGGAAGCAGATCGGGCCGTCTTCTGGGGCACAGGAGGAAAATGCTAGTTTTGGTCCTAATGGTAGTGGGAGGCCAGTGAGAGCGTTTCGAAAAGGAGACACGGTCCAAGAGGAGTGCGGAGGGGAAAGCGGAGGCGTGCGGGCAGGACTTCAGGGTGGAGGAAGATGGAGGAGGGCTGCTCAGAGACGCGGGAAGACTAGAAACCAGGGGCGCGGTCAGCACTGCCGCCAGAAGGCCTTGATGACCAGGTGGAGCAGCTGCACTGCCCCGGCGGGGTGCACCCACCTCCACAGCAGGGACGGCTCCCCAGCTGCTGGGGGGGGGGGGGCAGGAGCTTGACTTGGGGCAGAGGGCTGTGCAGCCGCTGCAGAGGCTCGAGACCCCAGGGTGTGGGGGGGACGCTGGCGTTTGACTCTGCCCCCAGTCTGCTGTGTGCAGAAGCAGGGTCAGGTGACCACGTCTGTGAGTTGACGTGATCCTTATGGCTGCCCTGGCAGCCCCTCCTAAGTTGACCCTAAGAGAAGATTCTGTTGCATTAAGTGTTTCTGGAAAAGCATTTTAAGAATACTTTCATTTTTATTTTATATATGGTCATTCTTAGTGCCCAGATTACGTAAGTGATTTTTCTCAAGGTCACAGTTAAAATGTTTGAGACTTTTTTCATCGGTTAGAAATTTCATTTTATGTTTCTACTGGATTGTCCAGATCTTTGTTTCAAGAATTTTGCACATTTTAACAGTGAAACAAGGAAACATAGAAAGTGCCCCCTCCCCATAGCTGCCGTTAATAATTTAATTTCCTTGACATGGTAAACGTCAGTGGAGGCCATCGGAGCTTGAAGGGAAAGCCCTGGTCCTGCCAGTTTGTGAACCTTTATTGTTTTAATCACTGTTATTTTGTGGAGAAACCTCTCAGGGATGACATCAAATTGTTGTGACTTTATTGACAATCCCTTGTTTTTCGTTCTGGCCAAAGACGTATTGTGGGCTGAGCTTAGACCTGCGGCTGCCGGTGCTCGGTGCTCGTTCAGAACCAGCACCTTCTGCCGCCTGGAGCTTCAGGGCTGTCGGGGAATAGAGTGGAGAGGGACCTCTGTGCCTGTACCTGCACGTCTCGCACTTTGCGCCTCACGCTGTGGCAGTTCAGACCACTTCGCGAGGCCTGGAGCCCTAGACTCCTGCGCCTCTTCTGGAGTTTTCAGAGAGTATTCTCCCTCACGCTGTTGATAGAGCTGTTTTGTCACATATAAGGAGGGGCTTCAAGAGGTGATTGTCAGGAAAAGCACCTCAAGGTCAGACGTCGTCCTGTCTGCCAGTGTCTCTCAGCATTTACTGGGCCTGCACCCATCGGTCGCGTCGTGCTGGTCAGATAGCCGAGCTACGCGACACTGCACTGCTCTGCTCATTAACCTTGGAGGTTCTCAGGGCTTTTTTAGGTGAAATCCACATAACTAAAGTTAACTATTTAAAAGTGCGCTCACAGTGTGCACCACCACCTCTGTCTAGTTCCCAAACATTCTCATCCCTCAAGAGAAACCCCACCCTCGGCGGTGCCCCCCGCCAGCCCCACACCCCCGGCAGCGCCAGTCTGCTTTCTGTCTCTGTGGATTTGCCTGTTCTGGATGCTTCACATAAGTGGAGTCTTACAGTAAATGAGCTTTTGTGTCGGACTTCTCTCGCTCCGCATAATGTTTTCGAGGTTCATGCATGTCATAGCGTGTATCATTTTTATGGGTGAGTTTCGTTGTCTGTATATACCAAATTTTGTTTTACCACCATGACAGGATTTTAAAATCTAGCATTGATGGCAATTTCATGATAAAGATATGACGGTTCTTCCTAATGGTGTACCATTTTTGGGTTGAACGTCTGTCTCTATCTTAAGGTTTCTGAGGTAACCCTTGGCTTTGCCCTTGGCTATCAACTTCATAAAAGATGCCAGCTTTATCTTTTGTCAGCTTACTGTCAAAGCATATGGGATCTGCCCTAATTTAACTGAATTTGATCTCACCAAATATTGTCACCTTTAGCTTTTTGTCTAGTTCTTTTCAAAGGCTCAATTTCAGGAGATAACGTATGGAGCGTGTATTCCATGTTTTCTCCTGGAATCTAGATCAGGATTGCAAACCACAGCCCACTTGCTAGCGGCCTGTGTTTCTCAGTAAAGTTTTATCATGCACAGCGCGCCCACTCGTTTGCGTGTTGCCTGTTGCCTGTTGCCTGTGGCTGCTTCCGCTGCAGTGGCAGAGCCGAGTAGCTGCAGTAGAGGCCCCTGGCTCCTGACGCAGCTCATCAGTTCTTAACCTGAGCCCCACCCCCGCCCCCTGATGGCATAGATGGGCTTAAATGGTCTGTGAAGACCCTGACATTGTACCTGAAGCCACGTGCACGTGTGCGTACCACGTGTTTTCCTGGAGAGAGGATCCATGACTTCCATCAGAATCCACAAGGGATCAAAGACTGCGAGTGATCAACAGTCATCCCTCTATGTAGCCAAAACGTTAATTCCCTGTTGCCCTAGAACAGCAGTTTTAGTCTCGGGTCACCTACACACGCTAAAAACTCATGGGACCCCAAGGAGCTTTTGTTTGTGTTGGTTGTAGCCGCGAGTATTTACCACATTAGAAATTAAAGTTGGAAGTTTGAAAGTATGCATTTACAGATTTAAAAATAACAATAATAAACCCATTACACATTCACGTTACATTTTTGCAAGTATCTTTGTCTGTCTTCGGCAAGGTAGGTTCTCAGATCTGCGTTGTCTGTGGTGCCCCACGCGTCGTGCAGCCCCTCCCGCGCATGGAGTGAGAGAGGCAGGCACTGCGGGGCCGCTGCGCAGGTGCTTCTGTCCCGTGGAACCCTGGAAGGTCAGAGCCAGGCCCCGGGCCACACCAGGAGAGCGGGGTGTGTGGGCTGCATGGTCTTTTCCTGCTGAGCTGTGCTCTGCTCTGGGCATCAGCATGCACTTCAGGCGCTTGAGGAAAAGCCTCAGAAGCCTGCTCTGCTGGTTGCTGTTGGCTTCTGGGTGAGGAGCTGGTCTGTGCAACCAGGACGGTGCGTGTGGCCCTTGATGGCAGCCACTTCCTTCAGTTTCAGTGCCGGGGGAGCTGGGCCACTTTTGGGCTGCTGGTAGGTTCTTAAATCTTATGAAAACAGATTTTCCTCGTTAATCCTATTTTCTTCTTTGCTTTGGCAACTGGGAAGCTCAAAACCTAATTTTCAGCTCTTGTGTATGGTGTATGTGTCTGTGCCTCATTCCTGGCTTGCTTTCTTCTTTCTCATTGTCGTTTTTCCCTCTCTATTTCTTAATCTACATCTTTTTTCCATTTACATATTTCTGTAAGTTATACTTTATTGTATATGTTTCTATAAACTCTCTCTTTTTTTGAACAAGATTGAGTATAAGTCATTTTAAATAAAACTTTTCCCTTTACATTATTGTGAAAAGAATTAATGTTTAGTAGATTATAGAGTCTGTTTTGATTTATAGAAATTAGTGAATCGCTTTCATTTCTGGTGTCATTGTCATTAAGTTACCTTAGATAAGTAGAAATTTAGCCATCCTGTATGTGGAGTATTAAGATGTTATTTTGTTTCATTATAGACTATATATAGTACAGTTACTTGGCAGTTTTATTTATTACCTACCCACACCCTCTGCCCTATTTTTCCATTTTATTTCTGTCTCATGTACACAGACATTCTTGTTATTAGTATCATCTTCATTTAGTCATAACAGGCTTTTTGTGCCTGCTTTTGGAACTTCTGTAGATTATTTTTAACACTATTAGTTATTTGTGCAGGTTTTCATCAGTGTGGTTCTGCTGATTTTAAACTGGCACAAACTTTTTTAAATGATGTTTCCAAAATGTGAAGCCCTCCTCCTGTTGATTAGAGCCTGAAGTTAATTGAAGCAAAGAGGACCCTGCAGATGGGCTGCAGTGACACTGTCAGGCCGTGGGTCGCACCTGGCCTCATTTCATCAGAGGGCTACATGTGTGTCATAAAGGGAGCTTACTGAGACTTAGGAAAAAATAATGTTGCACTTCGTCACTTCATGCAAAGTGACCTGGGTAGAGATCAAACTGTATTTTGTATAAAACGTTGATTCGCATGATTTTTTGAAGAGTAGACTTCGCATATTTGTTACTATATAGATGCTGTCGTTTGAATTTTCAGAAGACTGTGCAGTCTTTTTAACTGATGAAGAACAGGCTTTGTCTTCCTGTAATTCTGGAATGAAGTTGAGTCACCCAACAAGAAAAAACTAAGTCCTGTTAGAATATACGCATAGTGATAGAATGCTGAAACAAGCTTCTGGACCGGCTTCATTGGCTGTCCTGCTTCTTTTGCATCCCAAAGCATAAGCTTAAACCATCTCAGAAGGACAAGGTCCGCCAGTTTATGGCATTTACTCAGACTGGCGAAAGAACCGCCATCTACTGCCTGACGCAGAATGAGTGGAAACTAGACCTGGCCACAGACACCTTCTTCCAAAACCCGGACTCGTTCCACCAGGACTCCATGAGAAACACCGTGGACAAGAAGAAGCTGGAGCAGCTGTATAGCAGGTACAAAGGTAAGGCGGCCACGGTGACAGGGCAGGCCATACGCAGCTTGCCTCTGTCTCTGGCGAGCAGAATGAATGTGGTCTTTCTTGAATTTCTGGTGTCGTATCTAAAGACCTCCAAAGTGCTGTTCCTTCTCTTCTTGATGTTTAGCCACAAGGTCCAGTCAGTTTAAGTGGACCTGTGACTGTTAATTGATACAAGTCAGGGGTGGGAGGAGAGGAGAGGAGTCTAAAGATTGACTGGCTGTGAGCCCTCCCCCACTTGTCTGGGCAGTGTGAGCTGTGGACAACGGGGCAGGGAAGCCATCGCTCTGTGTCTGAGTGTCCTGGCCGGGCGGCCGCACCTGTTAATAGTGTTTTCCCAGGCACCCCCATTTAGGCTGGAATATTTGTGGCGAGACTGTTGTTTAAGAACAGTACCAAATCGTAAAAATAACTCTGACGCGAGGGTGGCAGCCGTCCTTCTCTGCACTGTGTCCAGGTGGTGTAGGCTGAGGCAGCGTCAGGGGCTGGGAGAGCTCTGGGAGAAGGAGGCGTGTGCGTGGCCTGGGGACGATGTTCTCCGTCCTGAGGCCGGCACGCAGGGGCAGCTTCCCTGCTGAAGAGTCGCACTGCAGAGGCCACCTGCCTGATGCACGTGCTCAGGTCCCCTCGCTCAGCCGGCTTCGCCATTTCACCTCGAACGTCACATCCTTGCTAATGGGAGAAGCAGCCCCACTCAAGAGTCGGCTTATTTTTTCTTTCCAGCAGTTTCTAAGGTTAATTTTATATTTCCAAAACTTAAAAAAACACTACAAACCAAAACTGCTCATTTCAACAAATATTAACCCAAATGAAATAACTTCCTTGGCTTTAAATTCTGGTTTATTATTTTCATTTTTTACTTTTGAGAAGACTGTGTGTATATTTTAAGCTGTCTATTTAGATCTGAAAAGTGGATTGAAAATTGCATTCTTTTTTAAAAAAATTCTTGGTTCAGAAACATATTCTGTGGTAAAAAAACAGATCTGTAGTTGTTAGAGTTCTCAAAAAATAAACATTGTATTCATGCTTTAGTGTGCTTTAAATTTTTTGGCTAAGTTAATTGTCGAGCTAATTTTGTAAGTCATATGCTATGCATATTTTTTAAGTTATTCAAATATATGCAGCTACTGTTGAAAAAATACTTTTATATAAGTGGAAATTGTCTTTAGTTTTTAGTTTAAGCTGCATCCCGTCATCATTTAATTTTATTCATGCAATTCTAGTCATTTAAAGTAGATAGATGGTACAATCATTTTGGGCTCTAAAAATAATATACAGTTCAAAGACTATTGACAAATGAGATATTGGTTATTATATAATGTATACAAATCAGTGAGTCCTCCAAAGTTCCTTTAAGATCATCAGTATTATTATAGGTGGAATTCACTGTGATGGCTTTTCAGGTGAGAGCTCGTAGACCAGTGTTTCTCTTATCCTGAAGATCTGTCGTGTTAGGGGCGCAGAACTGAATAGGAGTAATGAGAATGTTTTACTGCCCCTTCTCCCTAAGCCCACGGCCACCGTTGTTCTCACTCATAGAGGAGAACAGAGTTGGAAGGATGTTTGTAATTTCATTCATTTAATTTATGCCATCAATTTTTCTTTGGTGAAAACATATGTATAAAAATGTGGTGTATAGTCCTTAAATGACCAAAGTTAAATTTTGTATGACGGGAGGAAAGTTTATCACACTTCATCATTATCTGAGCAGAGGAGCTTCAGGTTTTCTGTCTGCACCTTCTAAACCAGGAGAACGAACACATATGTTATGATGCTATGTTGGGTGCACACAGTCTGCCTGAGATTACTATACCTAGTTTGGTGAGGCCTTGCTGGGGTTCTTTCAGTAGATTTTACTATTTGATTTTCTGATAGAGAAATCACAAATTCCTTAATTTTGTTTCTAAACAGGAGATGGGGGGAGAGAGAAGTCTAATTTTCTAAGCTGTGAAAAATTGATGCATAAAATAAGTGATTTTGAAAAATAAATACTGTACAATAGCATTAGGACTATAGCAAAAGAAATTACTTTTAAAGGAAAAACGTCAGTCTTACTTCAGTAGGATTGTGATAAAAATGAAATATTTAACTCCCCAACACAGTATTTTTGTAGCAGTTTGCCTTTAGGCAAACTAAAATTCTGTAAACTTGAATTTTTATTTTACTTTAGGGAAATTAAATTTTTTCTTAATGATGAAGTGTTCTCAAAGAAGTTTCAATGATTTTTTCCCCCTAAAACCCAGAAAACTAGATTTTAAAAATAGAAGTATTTCCTGGACAAGTTATGATTTGTTGCTGTTTCTTTCATATATAGTAGAAAATTATAGTTCTCTCGTGGATGTATCTGAAATTTGCTCACTGGGGCACTGTGTAGCAGAGGATGCTTCAACTACCCATTTCGTAAGACTTTTCACAATGGTGTAACTTCTTCTTCCCTTAATTTTGACTATAGACCCACAGGATGAAAATAAAATTGGAATTGATGGGATTCAGCAGTTCTGTGAGGATCTAAGCCTGGATCCCGCCAGTGTCAGCGCTTTGGTTATAGCCTGGAAATTCAGGGCAGCGACTCAATGTGAATTTAGCAAAAAGGAGTTTGTGGATGGCATGACAGAGCTTGGGTGAGTAAATTGGTCTCAGTTAAATTTTTTCAGATTGGAAGATACTTTCCATGTTAATTGTTTTTCAACACCCTGTAAAATTAGTTTCATATCAATTCATGTTCTTTGTGTAGCTTACAAATTCTTACACATCTGCACTTTTAAGACTTTGTTTTCCTTTTAAATTCCAGTTAAAGTTTTACTTAATATTTTTATTCAGGTTAATCCCTTTTGTAACTTATTTTCTTCTTTTAAATTTTTTCCCTTGCAGTTCTGAAATGACAGTAGATCTCATGGTGTTTTTGTTTGTTTGTTTGTTTTCAGCCATCAATTTATTTCCTAATACTATGTACTAAATGTATAATTTATTGTGTTGCTATATTTAACACTAATAAACTCATTTTATTTTATTTGCTTGTAACACTCTGTTCTACCTACTGGGTTGGGATAAAGGCTTCATTAATGACTTAAGATGTTTCTCACTTGGTCGGATAAGTCAGAGAAGTAAATGAAAGCACATAACATGTCTTTAACCATTAAGTTATTAAACTGTTTTTGAGGTGGTGTAAGAGCCAGCTTGCCTGACTTGCTGATATGCTGGTATTTCAGTGCTGACAACTTAAACTAGCTTATTTTTAGCTGCTGAAGGAGCTTGAAAGCCTAAGGCTAACGTGGTCTTACGGGATGTGCTTACAGCATCCCGGGGAAAATAGAGCGCTTGTTGTTTCCACAAAACTGATGAATCTGTCACGTTTATCAGCCTCATCTGTTGAGGTGATAAACTCTACAAGAACTTCTTTATTTCTATTAATGTCTTATATTCCTGGTGGTTGTATAATACCACCCAAATGAAAGATATCAGTAGGACTTCGTGCTCTTTGCACCTGGGAGAGCCTGCAGGAGTCCCCAGTACTGTCAGAATGGAAAACACCTATTAACGAAGCCTTCACTTGGCATTGTACTACATTATCCCATCTGTTAAAATCTCCCCAAAATGGAGATTTTGGAAGTAAGTGCTTGTAGAAACACTTACTGGCATTTCTTAGACATTATCTAGAAATATGTTGTACAAGTAAATTTTTTAAATTCATGTCCATTATCCTATTAAGTGTCATAACTTAAAAAAAAACATGTTTTAAAGATTTTCAGAGTGAATCTTCCCAAAATGTGTTAGGTAATTTCATGCCGTCTTATATGGAGCACAGTCGTGCACCAAATAACGTTCCGGTCAATGGCAGACCGCATGTAGGATGGTGGTCCCATAAGATAAGTACCGTACAGCCTCAGTGTGTAGCAGGCTGAACCAGCTAGGTTTGTGTAAGTGCACTCTGTGATGTTTACATGGTGATGACGTCGCCTAACAACTCATTTCTCAGCACGTGTCCCATCATGAGGTGATGCATGACCGTACACAGAACGTAATTTAAGGTTACAAGTGGATGGCGTTAGTGGTACTGCTCTCCACATCTCACAGGGCACTGAAGGTAAAAGCATTGGTAAATATTGAAGTGCTGCAGACTGAAGTCTTGTTAATGTGTCAGGAAACCGTTGTAGAGATAACCTCAGTGCTTGGAGGGCTGTGAAGAACTATGTGCCTCTAGTCTAAGTATCACTCAACTTTTAAAAAACGCTTTGGCATTGTGTCTGCTCTATTATTTTTTCACACTTTTTCTGGGCTTCTACTTCTTAACAGTGATTAGAGGGCCTGCATTTAACAGTGAATCCTACATCCGTTCCTTGAGGCGTGAGGATTCTTAAGTAAACTGAGCAAATTTATAAAACACTTTATCTTTGTAGAAATAAAGAAATTGACTGTATGTGTGGATCTGTTTCTGGATTCTCTGTTGCACTCCATGGGTCTTTTTATCTGTCCTTATTGCAACACCGCATAGTCTTGACTATTGTAACCTGAGAGTAAGTCTTGAATTGTCGTGAAGTCTTCCTACTTTGTTCATCTGTTTCAAGATCATTAGTCAATTTTTATTATTTAAATGGGGGAAAGAAGAGTCTTTTCAACAAACGATGCTGAAACAACTGGGTAAACATGAAACAAAAGTAACCTCCATCCCCACATACCATACATAAAAATTAATTTGGGCTAGATTATAGCCCTGCGCCAGAAACTTAAAACTGTAAAGTTCTAGACAAAACATAGAAAAATGTCCTTGCGACCTTGGGTTAAGCAACACTTTAGAGGAGACATAAAAAGCATTAGGCATAAAGGAAAAAATTGGACTTCATCAAAGTTAAAAACTTCTGCTTATCGAAAGATACTATTAAAATGAAAAAGATAAAACAGTAAGAGAAAATATTTGCTTTCTCTCTGTATATATTGTAATCACTATAAAAATAGAAGAATATATAATTTCTAAATAATAGAGTGGGGAATAAAGTAATAAATTCAATCCAAAAGAATGCAAGAAAAAAAAGAACACAAGGAAAAATTAATTTAAAGGCAGGATAGATGGAAAGCATGTGATAAAATTGAGGATTTAAACCCAAGTATACCAAGCATTTACATAGTTACATTAAATATAAGTGAACTAAATGTTCACAATTATAGAGATAATGAGGGACATTTCATAATGATAAAAGGTTTATTTCACCAGGAAGGCAATAGTTTATTTAAAGAAAAAATAAATATTATAAAGGGAAAGATACAATTCTATGATCAAAGTGGAGAATTCTTACACATATCTTACCAACTGATAGAATGAGCAGATGAAAAATCAGTAAGGAAATAGAAAATTTGGACAACACAACAAATGGCCTAATGGGCATATTTAGAACATTGCCTTCAGTGTTGAAGAATACATATTCTTTTCAAAAAGACACATGGAACATTTATAAATATTGACCATAAACTGGGCGTAAAGTAAGTTGCAACAATTTCAAAGGATTGGAATGATACAGAGAATGTTTTCTGACTAGAATACAGTTAAGATAGGAACATAACAAAGATAACTAGATAGTTTGAAATGTGTGTGGATATTGTATACCTCTGAATAACTCTTGGGTTGAGGAAGGTTACAGAGGAAATTAGAAAATATTTTGAATGATGAAGTAAATACTACATAGGAAAACCTACAGGATTTAGCTTTTTAAGTGCATATTTTAGGAAGAAGAAAAGGTTGAAAATCAGTAAGCAAAGCATCCATCTCAAGAAGCAGGAAATTAAACTCAGAATGTAGAAGAAGGAATTAATTTTTTTTAAACAGGCAGTAATTCAATGAAATAGAAAAGAAGTTGTCAGTAGAAAGAATCCATAAAGCCAGAAACTTATTTGAAAAGATTCATAAAAGTAATAAATAGCAAACAACCAGTATAGAATGAAAAGAAGGACATCACTGTAGACCTTACAGACATGGAAAGATGACTGTGTTATAAACAGCTTTATACCAGTGAGTTTGAAAACCTAAATGAAATGGAGAAATTCTTTTAAAAATACAACTTACTAAAATGCCTACATGAAGAAATGGTTCTTTAACTCTTGAAAAATTTGAACTCATAATTTAAAAATCTTTTCCAAGAGAAAATTCGTGACCAGGTTTGGCTCATAGTACATCATACCAAACTTTTAATGAAGAGAATAACACCAATTGTACACAGCCTTCTCCTGAGAAGAGAGGGAGAAACACTCCCTAGTTTGTTTTGAAGCCAGCACAACCTGGCTAACAAAACCTAGAAAGGACATTTTGAGAATGGAAAATTAGAGGCCACTGTCAGTCATCAGAATCAAAAGATGCATAAGATGAACATAAGAAGCAAAAATCCTAAGCAGATTGTTAGCAAACTAAATCCAGCCCTAAAAACAAATCAAATGAAAAACCAGGATAATTTATCATGACAAAATTTGTTATAGTCCAGGAATGCAAGATTTGTTTAACGTTACAAAGGCAATCAATGTAATTTATCAGTAATAAGAGGAGAGAGGGCAAGGAAGATTATCTCAGTGCATAAAATGGGTTTGATAAAATTCAGTTCCATTCATGATTTTTTAAAAAAGAGAGAACTCATAGCAAACCAAGAATAAAAGGGACAGGCCTTAATCTGGCCCCAACCCCCACCCCCACCAGTTCTACAGCACTCAGTGTGCTTACTGGAACCTGCATGCTTGCCTCTGTTCAACGTTGAGCAGGGGGTCGTAGCTAGTCCAATCTACAGGTAAAATATTAGGATCAAGAAGTGGGTTTAGCCAGATTGCAGGACCCAAGGTCAGCAAAACAAAAGTTGGTCAGATTTCAGAACACTGAATGCGACAATGCAACAAAATGGTGAATTATAAAAATATATGTCATTTTCAGTAGCGTCAAAAATACTCAACACCTAAGATAAGTATACTTAAAGATGTGTGCTACCTTCATAGAGAAAATAAGCCACCAAGAGACAGCAAACCCAAGGAAATGGAGAAATATACTTCATTTATAGGTTGGAACGCTCAGCGTTTTATCCCTAAATTTATCTATACGTTTAGTGATCTCAGTCCAAACCCCACTAAGTAGTAGATTTATGAATGTGGAATTTGACAAGCAGATTTAAAGTTTGTATGAAAACAATGGTTGAGAGTAGCCAACAATTCATAAAGAAAAAGAAGAGGGCGGGGAGATTTGCTCCACCAGATAATCAGGACTTCTCAAGCTGCAGTGATTAAGACTACACGGTACTGAGTGTCAGAATAGTCCATAGACCAGGGGAACAGAGTGGGGAGCCTAGAAGAGTCCAGGGACCAGGGGACAGAATGGGGAGCCTAGAAGAGTCCATAGACCAGGGGGACAGAGTGGGGAGCCTGGAATAGTCCATAGACCAGGAGGACAGAGTGGGGAGCCTAGAATAGTCCATAGACCAGGGGGACAGAGTGGGGAGCCTAGAATAGTCCATAGACCAGGGGGACAGAATGGGGAGCCTAGAATAGTCCATAGACCAGGGGACAGAGTGGGGAGCCTAGAATAGTCCATGGACCAGGGGACAGAGTGGGGAGCCTAGAAGAGTCCATGGACCAGGGGGACAAAGTGGGGAGCCTAGAAGAGTCCATAGACCAGGGGACAGAGTGGGGAGCCTAGAAGAGTCCATAGACCAGGGGACAGAATGGGGAGCCTAGAAGAGTCCATGGACCAGGGGGACAGAGTGGGGAGCCTAGAAGAGTCCATAGACCAGGGGAACAGAATGGGGAGCGTAGAATAGTCCATAGACCAGGGGGACAGAGAGGGGAGCCTAGAATAGTCCATAGACCAGGGGAACAGAATGGGGAGCGTAGAAGCAAACGCATGTGTTCAGGTAGGTTTGATTTATGGCAAAGGTGGCAACCAGAGAGAGGTGGAGAAAGGACATCTTTTCCGTAAATGGTCTGGGGAGAATTGGCTGGTCATACAGAAAAAATCATCTTGATCCCTACCTCACACTGCATAGACATCAGTTCCAAGTAGATTGCAGATCTCAATGTGAAAGGCTAAAGCCAGAAGCCTCTGGAAGATAATGTAGGAGAGCATGGCCATGCAGTACGGAAAGCTTCAAAATGTCACCCAAAAACCCCATAAAGAGGAAGACTGATGAGCGCCCATACTGATGGTCAGGAAACACCATCCAGGGAGGGAGAGGGCAGCACACAGGCTGGGAGAGAGCACTTTAATGTACTCAGCTGACTAAGACTTATATCCCTAGCATGGGAAGATTTCCTACAAAACAGTAAGAAAAAGATAACCTAATTGAAAATGGGCAAGATTGAACGAGCACTTCACGAAACCATTTCCAGATGGCCAGTGAAAACACGAGGTACGCGGTCTCGTTCACTGGGGAAGTGCAGGTTAAGACGACAAAGGAACAGACCCTCACAGGCCACTCAGAATGGCTAAGATAAGACACAGTCGCACATATAGTGGAAATGAGGCAGCAGGAACTCTGGGCACTGCTGGTGGGGTGTGCAGTGGGACAGCGACTCCACAAACGGTTGGATGCGACTGAGGAAGCTGCAGGTGCATGGTCCCTGCGACCCAGCCATCCGCTCTTGGGTGTGTGCCTAACAGCACATTCACCTGGCTGCCCGGGTACACACAGAGACATTCTCTACAACACTTTGTAACTAGAAAACTGGAAACAGCCAAAATATATGTCATCAGTAGGATATATAAACTCTAAAACATGAATAGAGTGGAATGCTATATGGCACTGAAAATGAACCAGCCAGAGCTACACATGTGAGCACGAGTGAACCTCACGGACAGAATGTTAGCACAGAAGGCCAGACACAGAATAATATACACTGTTTGTTCCCATTTATAAAAGTCAAAACCAGGGAAAACTAACCTACGCTCTCCAGGAGTGCTCGTCAGGGTGACAGAGGCATAAAGCAGAGTAAAAGGTGACCGCATGGAGGAAGAGGCCCTGGTGGGCAAAAGGTGCCGCTGCTGGCCCATCCTCGATGTGGGGCTGTGCTCGTGCACCACGACGGGCCCTGTGTGAGCATGGCCTTGCTGGCCTGGCGGGTGCTGGCCGCTCCAGGCGTCCCCATTGTCCTTCCTCAGCCCTGCTTCACTGGGGCGCGAGGACAAGTGCGTGTTACTTTTATTTGCTTCCTTGCTTCAGTGGAAATAAAAAAGACAAGTTTTATGTTTTTCTGTTCTAGATTTTTGCTTTACAGGCTTTTTAATGTTCTTAAAGGTTCTTGACTTTTTGGAAGAAAATCCAATTTTAGGGCAATAGTTGTGTCTATCACACTTGGATATTCAAAATCTGACCTGCTATAATGCAGAGACCGCCAGGTACAGTAGCTTCCATGCAGCAGGGGTCTTCTCCCCTTGTGGGACAGAACAGAGCTGGCAGAGCGGCTCAGTTCGCGGAGTCCCTGAGGAAATGGGGTCTTTCCTTCTTGCCACTCGGCCGTCTCAGGCACTGGCCTGTGCATGGTCAGAGCTGCACGGTTAAACCGTGCCTGTCTTCCAGCCCACACAGAGGAGGGCAAGCAGTTTTGGTTTTTTTCTTTTAGTGACAGCTTTATTGAAATATAGTTCACATACAGTACAATCTGCCCACTTAAAGTCTACACATCGTCACAATCAGTTTTAGAGCATTTCGAGTGCTCGGCCAGAGAAAGGGGCCCACAAGAACTGCACCTCGCTGCTCTTAGCCCTGAGCCTCAGGCTGCACCACATTGCGGGGGAGCCGGGAGCTGCCCGGGCCTGGGAGGCACATCTGCCACTGTCACACAGCACTGTCTCTCGTCGCAGGTGCGACAGCACAGACAAGCTGAAAGCCCTTCTGCCAAGACTGGAGCAAGAGCTTAAGGACGCAGTGAAGTTCAAGGATTTTTATCAGTTCACCTTTTCCTTTGCCAAGAACCCCGGGCAGAAAGGTTTAGGTGAGTATAGAATCCAGGTTTGTAAGACGCCACGTCTTGGTGAGACTGTACGTGGACACCATCAGCAGGATTCTCCTCCTGCCTGCTCTGCTCTCCTTCCTCTGCTGGTTTCTTGTTCTCTCCACTGGTTTCCTCCACGTGCAGATGGAGTAGGTTTAGCACTGCATACTTGAACACCTCAACCAGTAGTCACTCGCGACTTTTAGGTTAAAATATTTACATTTTGAAACGTAAACTAATTTGCTGTCTATTCTCTCGCATTGATATCTGGTTGACTGATGGGTTGGAGAAGTCACTAGTTGGTACGGACGTTGGAGTGTGTGATCCGGCCGATGCTGTGGTGGAGACTGGCCGGCTGACATCAGTCCTGTCGCAGTCTGGAGATTTGGAGTCGCCTTACCTGAAACCCGTTCTCGTGTGCATTGAGTTACATTGTGGCGCTTCTTTCAGAGCTGTGTGGTTTTGCCATGCTATAACTCGTGTATTACTGTATATGGTACATTTGGAAAATTCTTTAACTTAGTTTTCTTTGGGTTTTTGGTTCATTTGAGTGTTTTATTCTGCTTATTTTCATGTTTTGCCCGTAAGGACTACACAGTTTATTTCTGTCGTCTTCTTTCCAAACATCAGTCTGTGTTGACCTGCACTTGGTAGCTAATGTAACAAACCTATGTTTAGTTCAGTAAAATCTCTTACAGGCTTGGAGAGAGGAATTACGTGGTCTATTAGAAAGTATGTTTTGAGGAAAGGTTCTTGAAAATAAAAGCAATATTATAAATGACCAAAATTAGGTAGGAAGCACAAAGTGGGCTTGAAAATCCTCAGGTAGAAAAATCCACTTCACATGTGCTTTCAGATGCTGACTTCACTTGTGCATGTGGGCAGGTGTGTGTGTGGAGACATTCCTGTCCCTTCTGTCCCTCTGACACTGTCCTGTCCTTCTCCTGTAACAGATCAAGCACAGGCGCACATCGAGGCGGCAGGCTCTGCTGTATCAGATAAGGGACGGGGCTTGGGCTCCCCTGCGTGGGATCAGGGACGGGGCGGGGGCTCCCCTATCTCAGATCGGGGACAGGGCGCGGGCTCCCCCGCATCGGGTCAGGGATGGGCCAGTCTCTCCTGTCTCAGTCAGTGATGTGGGTGGCTGTCTTTTCTCAAGCACTTTTCCCGTTCCCTGGCAGGGGTGGTTCCTCTGTTTCCTCCTGTGTGCTGTCTGTTTCCAGCTTTGTCCTGTTGCACTGTGGTGAGTCTCCCATCAGACCCCTCTCTGGGCTGGTTGGCCAGAACGAGTTTCTCGCCCGCGTGCCGCCTCAGGGACCCTGCAGCTGCCGCCTCAGGAGTGATGAGGCTTCCGCCTTGAGGGTCCGTTCAGGAACTCTCGTGAACAAATCTGCTTAAAACTTGGGAAGGTGGCAGCGAGGGGCTGCTGAGGAAGGGTGGGCGTGTGTTTCCCTGTTCGAGAAGGCGGGTGGCAGGTGGAGCCTGCCTGTGTGTGGAGGCGCAGCGGCGAGGGTCCCACAGCAGGGGCCACTCACATCCCGCCTGCTCGTGAGGCAGAGGGCTGAGGTCATGTGGGACGTCGAGGCATTCGGGAGAGCTGTTCTGATGTGTTTGTGTGTGAGGACAGCACTGGCTTCCCCGTTTGGCCTCATGCCAGCAAAGGGTCTGGTCTCATGAGAGTCCAGCCTGAAAGGAGAGGAGAGTCCACGCTGGACGCCAAGCGTGGGCAGCAGAAGAGCCAGCTGGTGCCAGGCCTGCTGGGTTTTGTCCACCTCCCCCTCACAGAGACCAGCCCGTGGTAGACGACTGGGAGAAGGACAGCAGGGGGCCCTGGGCGTGACCCCTCGCCTGCCCCAGTGCTCAGGTGGCCTCTCTGGCCCACGACTCCCATCGGGCATCATGTCGCCCGGGGAAGAGCTGCCCGTGCTTCCAGGGGGACCTTGAGGAGACCAGACTGAGACACTGGCAGCAGGACCTGGTTAAACTAGAACTTCAGGTGATCCCACTGTGTGAGTGCAGACGGGAGAGTTGGACTTACAGAGTTGTGTCCCTGGGAAAATTTAAATGCTTGGCATACCTTAAAAAGAAAGAACTCAGGGGCCAGCCTGGTGGCGCAGCAGTTAAGTGCACACATTCCGCTCCGGTGGCCCTGGGTTGGCCAGTTCGAATCCTGGATGCAGACCTAGGCACTGCTCATCAAGCCATGCTGTGGCAGGCGTCCCACATACAAAGTACAGGAAGAAGGGCACGGATGTTAGATCAGGGCCAGTCTTCCTCAGCAAAAAGAGGAGGATTGGCGGCAGATGTTAGCTCAAAAACAAACAAAAACAAAACTCTTGCAGTATTACTCAGCAGAAGGAATGAAATTGGAGTGGAGTGTTAGCAGCCGTCCTGGCGTGCTTCCTCAGCTAGTCTTCAGACACAGGACTGGCCTCGACAGCCAGTGTGGCTTTCGTTTGTAGGGGCTGCTTCTGTCTTTTACCTTGTTACTGAAAAGAAAGCTGGAAACTGCTGCTTGCCCAGCACCCAAGGAGTGGCAGCCAGGTGCTCTCGTCTGACCCACATGTGGCATTACCTCCATTTTGTAAGCAGGGAAACTGCAGCTGAGGCATGAACACAGGCCATGGCCGTGGGGTCTGGAGCCCAGCCTCTCCTGTCCACTGTGTTCACACCTCCCTAGTGGGCAGCTCACGTGGGCTGAGAGCCCAAGGGAGCCAGGGCCTGGGGTGCACTGGGAGTCTGCAGGCACAGGAGAGAGCCACACACATGTCTCAAGGTCTCGCTGTCATGGGCCTGCAGGGAAAGGTGGGACCCCAGAGTAGGATCAGCTGTCTTGGCCCCGTACGTCCGCTCCCAGCCCTCCACCTGCCCCAGCGCTCCTGCCTTCCAGGGCTATCTCTCCGTGCCTCGCTGGCCTGCACGTTCTCCGCTCATCTTCACCTTCTCGGGACCCTCCAGGACCCACCATTCTCCCTGCATCTTCCATTTTGTATTATTCGATCTCAACATACTTGCTTCATACTATGTGTATGTATTGTATGAGCAAAATATATTATAATTTTAAACCTCCTAAAATATTCAGTCTGTTTCAACACAAATGACTTCTGAGTTTTTCAAAGCAACAAACATTGGCAAAAAATAGTGATTTCCTCATGTGATTTCGCTGCATCGGGTTGTGTCAAGGTGGGAACCTTTTTGAAGTGACGTGCTGCATCACTCACTCCTGTGTGTGGACAGGAAAAGCTTTCCTGCTGTCTCCAGATGCTGCCGTATGTCCTGGCTGGTGTACGTCCCCTGGTGTGTGTGCCGTGTGTCCTGGCTGGTGCATGTCCCCTGGGGTGTGTGCCGTGTGTCCTGACAGGTGCACATCCCCTGGTGTGTGTGCCATATGTCCTGGCTGGTGCACGTCCCCTGGGGTGTGTGCCGTGTGTCCTGGCTAGTGCATGTCCCCTGGGGTGTGTGCCGTGTGTCCTGGCTGGTGCATGTCCCCTGGGGTGTGTGCCATGTGTCCTGGCTGGTGCATGTCCCCTGGGGTGTGTGCCGTGTGTCCTGACAGGTGCACATCCCCTGGTGTGTGTGCCATATGTCCTGGCTGGTGCATGTCCCCTGGGGTGTGTGCCGTGTGTCCTGGCTGGTGCATGTCCCCTGGGGTGTGTGCCATGTGTCCTGGCTGGTGCATGTCCCCTGGGGTGTGTGCCGTGTGTCCTGACAGGTGCATGTCCCCTGGGGTGTGTGCCGTGTGTCCTGACTGGTGCGCATCTCCAGGTGTGTGTGCCGTGTGTCCTGACTGGTGCGCGTCCTCGGGTGTGTGTGCCATGTGTCCTGGCCGGTGTGCGTCCTCAGGTGTGTGTGCCATGTGTCCTGGCTGGTCTCTGTCCCCTGGTGTGTGTGCCGTGTGTCCTGGCTGGTGCATGTCCCCTGGTGTGTGTGCAGGTGTGTCCTGACAGGTGCATGTCCCCTAGTGCGTGTGCCGTGTGTCCTGGCTGGTGCACGTCCCCTGGGGTGTGTGCCGTGTGTCCTGGCTGGTCTCTGTCCCCTGGTGTGTGTGCCATGTGTCCTGGCCGGTGCATGTCCCCTAGTGGGCAGGCCCAGTCTTAAGGCAGATTACAGGGCTTGAGTCAGTCAGTGGGCAAGCGTGTGACTTGGTTGTGGTGGCTGTCAACAGTCAGTTGTCAGGTGTGTCATCCTGCCTTGAGTGTGACGCTCTTCTGAAGATGTCAGCCATGAGCTTGCTCTCACTGGGCAGAGTAGGTCATAGGGAGACCAGGCACCGTGTTCAGCTCCTCACTTCCCTGCCCTGCCCCACCCAGGGATAACCCTGCATCCCGGAGCCATGGCCACTGACAGCACGTCCCACCTCAGCTTTGTGTTTTTATGGTCTTTCCACCTGTGAAGGTGTTTCTCTTCAAGATTCTCGTGTCTGTCTGGAGGAGCTGCCCCTCCGCTCTCCTTTCCTGTGATGGACACTGCCATCTCCATGGCCCCAGGCTTAGGTGGCCGCGAGTTGGAGCAGAATGGGGTGAGGATCGACGTTAGAGGAGCCATGCCTCTGGGAGGGGCCGTCTGTGAAAGGGATGGGCCGCCAGGGAAGGGAGGCCTGCCCAAGGCCATCTCGTCGTGGGCCTTGCTGCAGCACCGTCCTGCGTCGCCTGCACAGCCGCCTTGTGTCAGAAGCTCTTAGGCTGCTAACTCCTGGTTTGCTTAACACTATAAGCGAGTTTTCTATTTTAATTATGTCAGGAAGACTAGGAAAAATGAATAAGGTGTTATTAGCTCAGACACCCATAAAGTATAAGTCGGAGGTGTGATCGTGCTGACGGACAGAGTGGCTGTGTAACTGTCCACATGGACGTGAAGGACCACATCAGGCTGTTACTCGGGGGTCAGACGGCTGGCAGCCGAGTCTGGGGCTTGCATGCACTCGCGTTCCATCTTTCGGGAATTCTGCAGGTGCCTTTGCTGTCTTGGGTCAGACCTCACCTCTGGCCGGGACGCTGGCA